ATTGAACCAACCTTGGAGGGGAAAATTGAACCAACCTTGGAGGGGAAGATAAGATCTCAAACTCGGGATTTTCTGCAAGTGGCTCAGATTCTTGCAAGCCCCTCGACTCAGGTTGGCCTCCTTCATCCTCAACCTTCCGGTCACTCCTTCCTGCTTCCACTTTTCCAAGATCTTCGGCTCCCCTTTCGCCATTAAAACAAAGCAACGCGCACACGCAGCACACACACACACACACCAAAGAAATGCACCAAGCAGCACAGGTCCTCCACAAGATTCGGCACAAACTGTCAATGCATCGTTCCGCCACGCGCGAGGAGACGGTGAGCCTCCTGAAGAACCGAGCTTGTCACTATACACCACAGGCTGGTGAGTTGATCTCACCCTACAACTCCCTTCCTGACTTCCTCAGTGGAGAGTTTATTGGCATCTTGTCAATCTTATTGTCTTAAAGGAGGAAACACCACACGAAAACGTGTCGCAGGCGATGCATGCACGTGGCCGCTTTTTGGTCGTCCATTCCTTCCCACGCGTTGACCGGGCGGGCGTTCGTTCGGCGTCGCCTGGGCCATGAGGTGGGGTGTAGCACGGCCGCCTGCAGCGCCTTGCACACGCGCGTGCAGACCTTCAGCGCCACGTGGGCCTCGCAGAAGCTCATGACGGTGGCCGCCGCGCCCAAGGGCAACCTGCGTGGGACGCTGGAGCAGGCAGGCGCTTGCATAGCAGGAGCGGGTTGTACAAGTGAATCCCTATGGATCCACATACCTTGTCAGATGATTGGAGACTATTTATGTAGGCGCCAGGAGGGTCCAATTACCTTCTGAGAAGGTGGCAGTGGATCCATAGGGAATAACAGTTATAGACACACGAATGGCCCATGTGACATGGGTGCATCATCTGCAGAAGAAATCCACATCAAAATGATTCAATAATGGCTCATCCGGCAATCCTTAAAAGCGCAGCTGCTTCACCCAAAAGATTGAGCATGCCATGCCACGAACTTTCGGCCTCCAAACCAACCCGTCCACCCCAAAAACCTCCTCCTCAACAGACCAACGCCGCCCGAAACGAGCCGGTCCACCGCGGCCGTACGCGGACCGCCTCATCTCAGCTCCGAGCCGCCAGTGTCCAGCGACGTGTCCATCGGACAGGTCCGCGGGCGGCGGCATGGCGATCCCCAAGAAGTGCCGCAGCGCCGTGGAGCGCGGAAAGGGCTCCAGGCTCAGCATGGCACGAAGGGATCCTGAAGGAAGGCAGCGCTGAGAAGAGACGCGGGGTGCGGAGAAGACATGTTGGAGGAGGCTGGGGTTTGCTGGGGCGGGGGATCGGTTTGGAGTTCCCAGTTGCCGGGAATCATGTAAAAATGGACCAATAAGATGTGCATGACAAACCTAGCTGGTTCGAGGAGTCAATGTGCATATAGACCTTTAAGAGTGCAGTTCCATGGCTTGTAGGGCTATAAATGGCTATAGTATGTATGGATAGACATGTAGAGACCTAGGTCAAATGATGTCAAGTGAGTAAGCTTGCAGGTAAGGAAACCTTTGGACGCTGCCCCCGATGTGCCTGCATGAAAATGTTATATATTCCCGCTTCATGTGTCCAAGCAAGAACCACACCAAACCGTCCCACGACATTTCGCTGTTTCCAAGCAATTTCCAGAGCTTCTTCCAGCCTCGACTTGGTTCAGTGGGCATCCCATGGAAGTCTATCTTTAAAAATGCCAAGTCGCTCTCCATCACTTCTCCTTGCTCTCCAGGCACCTCAAAAAAGGGCCTGGAAGGCGTCCGGAGGCTCGCGCGCGGCCAGCGTGCGCTCATGGCGTGGCCCAAGCGTTGGAGCTCCTTGAAGCTGCGGCGGACCGTTTGCCCCGGAGCGCCTGCAGCGAAGAGAAGGACAAGCGTTCGGTGCAGCCACACCTCAGGAACAAATGGGTACAGTTGCACCTGTATAGGGTCCGTCGTGATGGGTCATGTCAGTCATGTCCCATTTTCTAAGGTACGATCTGTAGGGTGCAGGTATAGCTTGAGATCCCCAAATGTCGTCATAGGGCCATAGGGAAGTTAATGTTCGAGTTCAAGTTGCCCTGTGCTGCCCTATAGATGGGCAAAGTCAATATATACACATCCTCAAAACACATTAGCCAACTACACTACACCCAATAAATGTGTTCAGAACATATTTGAACAGGTGTGCCCATGTGAGGATTCCCTGGTGCAGCAAGTTGACAAGGAGCTCAACAAAGCGGCACTACTGAATTTCCACTTGTTCGCGATCAGAAGCTCGCGCCTGTGCTGGCTGGAGGCTGGACGAAGAAGTCATACTCATAGGTGTCGTTGACCAGGGAATGCCCAACCTGAAGCCGTAGATGGGATTCAAGCTGCCCATCTAACAGGAATGAGGGCCACACTTGAAGCACCTTCCGCCTGTTAAACGTATCCTTATTCCTTATTCAATCAAACAAGCAATGAGAATGCTACCTACCTATATACCAGTCTACTACTCTAGTATGTTCTATCATGCTCCATCGTTCCATCGTTTGAGTGTGAGAAGCCGCTCTTGGCGCATTTGTACAACACTCTCTCTCTCTCTCTCTTCTGCTGCACCAACCTCTGCCAGCTCCCAGGCGCTCCCAGACTCTGCCGAGCGGCACAAGTCACCTTAAAACTCTCTTCATTCACCACCTGCGGCTCTGCCCTTGCGCCCGAGCTGCTACTGCCCATCGCGTGCGAAATCAGCAATGCGCGCTACGTCGTGCGGGGCTGGAAGGAAAAGTTGCCTCCAAGGGTGGTTTTGGTTCATGGGAGGTGATGACAAAAATATGTTGGGCGTGTATCCCATTACCAGCAACAGTGGATGAGGATGGTTAGTAAAGGCCTTGTTCTAAAATAGATTAACATATAGTGATAACTACGTTTACCGACTGTTACATGTTTTAATAGGACTGACCCATCTGGCTCAAGGGGCGAAGAATTGAATTCCTTTGGCGACGAGTGCTGAGAGGCTCAGTTGTATCTCTATCCATTCGCAGGAAGGAGTCCATCTATTGTATTCCTTTGCAAATTCAAAACGCTGCAGTGCTCTCTGCAAATGCTTGTGAGTGGCTTCTGTAGAGGATGAATGATGCATGTCACAAATATCACATTTAGATCCTTTCTGCGAGCTCTTGTGTTCGACACATCTAGTACAGCAGTTTCACTTGTCATCGTACCAATCTAGTTCCTTTCGTGACCAATGCCGCGCTCACAACATTGGCTCCTGTTTGCTGCTCGATCTTCGCCAGGCTGCGGCTCAAGTTGGCCACTCCCAACAGCTCCCCGGAAATGCATGGACATGCCCCCAAAAAAGCTCAGCTGACCACCAGCCGTTGCATGCGAAGCACTTGTGTGTGTATGTGGGCGTTGGGGCTGGGTAATCATTGCCTCCCACGTCGTAGCCTTCCAGCTTATTTCAGCTCATCCTCCCCTGTACAAGATCTATCAGCAGCCCTGTGTTTTGAGTTTTGAGGCAATGTCAAGGGGATCTGGAGATGCCATTGAACCACATTTGTTCGCAACATTGTCAGTAGCAAGAGTCCGTGATCATGAATAGGCTATGAGAATGAATGCTCCTCCTGGAGCATCTGCCAAAAAGTGTTAGATTCACAGGTGCTACTATTACTAGTATCTGGACCCTTGTATACTTGGCAACGTGCAAAGCTTGCAAAAGCCTCACCCTCCCAGTTCCTGCCAACCTCTGGCCATTTCACACCCGGTCACCCAGAAACCCAACACCAGAACCCAGGTGCCAGGAGGGTCCCAAAATGGTCCAGTCATACCGAACCTGAGCAGGTACGAAAACGGAGCCCAAAAGGGTGGTGAAACTCCCCTAGGGCTCCAACCATATCCTCAGGTTCGGTGGTTAGACCCCCTAAACCCACCACAACCATTTTCTCAGGAGGTGGTTGGAGCCCTAGGGCCCCAAATCCGTGTCGACTCCAGCCGGGCCACCCTTCGGATGCCGCTCTTCTGCAGGAAATCTTCCACCCGTGGAGACAACTGTTGTGGGTTGCCTCGATGAAACGGCGGTGCCACCGAGGGGTTCGCCCCCCTCGCGAAGAATTCCCAGGAGCGTGACACTGCAGCTGATGCCATATAATATTTTATACCAGCTGCTTCCAAAGGGATACCAATGGACAACCCCACACTGCTTATAGGTCACCCATTGGAAGCGCTAGGTATATTTATTTTTAGATGCTTCTGGTCTTCTGGTTCTTTCTGATTGCTTCTGGATTCTGGCTCAATTACAGTGGTTTCAGAGTAGATGGCACAAACCCCATGATGTCCTTTAGATGGGGTTCCATATAAACCACCTCTTGGGGTTTGTGCCATCTACTCTCAATCCACTATAATCATAAACCGACTACGGCCCACGGCTTTTTCTGGTGACCATCTACAGGGAGATGGTAACGCTCTTCCCACAGGCACTCGGGGACGAACCAAACAAAATATCGGCCTGGGAAAGGTTCCCTGGATTGACCATCACCAACACTAGTATATGATGTGACCGATCACGATTGCTCATTGTAAAGCCACGACATCAATCCAGTCCCACACCAAGCAACAAAGCACATATAGTACAAGAGGTGGTTGAAGCCCTACTGTAGAATCCGCAACATTATTAACCCCATCTTCTGTACTCTTCACCTGGCTCTTTTGTCCCAAACAAGTGTCCTTTGTCAGACAAATAAGACCAGCCAAGACCGGTCGCGGCGCTCTCTCGCCCAAGTGACCGTTGTTAAAAGGGTTGTGGTAGACGATGGTGGCATTTTGCCCTCCACCTTGCCCAAGGCGGCAGCAAGACATTGCGAGCCATGAGTGGTGGCCCCGGCGTTTTCTACCAAACCGGGCGAGGGTGTAGCGGATTTGGAGGGCTACCTGTCAAGTGTGTGATGATCGACACTGTTCAGACTTGTGTCCACCAGAGGTGGCTTTATTCTAGAAGTCAAGAAACTTGAAAGAAAACCCCCCCCCCAAAAAAAAAAAAGCAAACCAGCAAAACAAAGAGCAACCAAGAAAGCAAAACAAAAGCAACCAAAAGTGCAACCAAAAAAGCACAAGCAAAACAAAAAGCAACCAAGAAAGAAAAAACACAATAAACAAGCAACCAAAAAAAAAACACAAACAACACACAAAGGGTATTTTGTCCGGGTAGGGTTAGTACTGGACAAGTGTCTTTTCTGGTGCCGGGTCAAAAGTCGCACTTTTGGGTCGCGTTTTTTGGTCGTTCGTTTTTCAATTTTTTTGTCGTTCTTAAAAAAAAAGCGACCGAAAGTGCACCAGAAAGTGGACCCTCCCCCAGAAGTGCACCAGAAAGTGGACCCTCCCTCAAAAGTGCGCCAGAAAACGTGGACCCTCCCTCAAAAGTGCGCCAGAAAGCCCGGCTGAGTTGGTCCATTTTTGCTTCCAATTTTGTTTGCTTTTGTGTTTTACTTTTATGATTGCTATTGTTTTTCTGGTTGCATTCTGGGGTTGCCTTTTTTTGCTCTTTTTGTGCTTTTGTGATTGCTTTTGTTTTTCTGGTTGCATTTTGTGATTGTTTTTTTGCTTTTTTTCTTCAAGATGCCAAAGGGGTCTGGCAGACACAAGTTTAGACGTTTGTAGAATTCGATAGAATTCGTTCAGTTATTGGACTTGGATCTTGCTCAGCTGCTTGATCGTCTGGTATTGTACTCTTGACGGTCCGAACTGGATTGACCCTGCAGGCAGACTCTAGGGGATGGACAGCGAAACACCAACAGCTCCCCTTGAAACATAACGACTTCTTGGATTGGCTGGTGATGAAAAAACATGTTCGAACAAGGATGACCCCCAGAATCTTGTATCAACGTATCAACCTGGAGAGGGGGCCCCAGTTCGTACCTCGGAACATGGGGCCCCAGTCGTCGTAGCTGGTTGGACATGGGGTCAGACGTGCCATGTTCATCCATGTTCTAAGGTACTGGGTCATGTCGGGTCCAGGAACTCTCTTTCGCATCATCCTGGTGTGGGCGCCAACAGGCTCCCTCGTATCCAACTCCCTCCACCGGCTCTTCACCGGCCGGTTGAGGGCCAGGTGTTTGGGCGCCTGGGCAGCCATAGTCGATGAGCTTCTCCTTGGTCGAGTGACGCGTCCGCCATGGCCAGCCCAGCTGAGCAGAACGGTGTTTCCGCGTCGAAGGTGACTGGACGGTGGGTGACGCTTTCGTCCAGAAAGTCGAGTCGAGGTGCAAACGGTGTGTTTTTGGAAAAAAACACCAGCCCCACAGCACGACTCCCAAACACAACCAGTCTGGGAGTGGAATAGGACTGCCCCAGAAAGACCCCTGGCACCCCAATGGATCGGCAGTCTGACATGGCAGTCCCAGTCCCTCGCGTTTGGGTATGATTTACCTCTCCCTAGGGCTCCAGCCGTACCTCCGAAACGAAGGTATGACTGGACCCGAACCTGGCACCCACCCCAGTCCCACCGACACGAAACGAAGGTCCGAGAACGGAGCCCAAACGGGTCTCTGTTCCAGTCCTCCACCCCAAACAGCGAGAAGTGACGCAATAGAACCCTCCCCTCCAAACATCTCTGAGCTTCACACCCTCCAAACATCACGTTTCGCGGTCAACGAAAAAGGTCCGACTTGACCTAAACAGCCTTCACTCAACGAGTGAAGTCATGACTCGAAAAAGGATGGCAGGGCCTGACCTGTACATGTCAGGCCATCTTGGTGGTTTGAAAACTGGATGTTTTCAACAACATGGACACAACAACCCGCGAAAGCCATGGATTCTTTCGTTCTCGCGTCCACCCCACCGTCCAGTCGCAGTTCAGCCACAGCGTCGCCACCACGGGAGTTGTACTCGTCCCAGGTGGGTCGTCGCTCAAAGTCTTCCAGCTGGGCATCCTGCAGCGGGTCGATGGAACAAACGATCCTGGAACTCCGAAACATGTCATGAAATTAATAAAAATATATCTAATAGGATATTCCCTAGGGATCTAATTTCTATATCTATAAATTTACAGGAAATAACTATAGGATATTCCCTAGGGATCCAAGTACCTTCTCAGGTACGGTGATTGGAGACACTGTTATGTAGGTGCCAGGAGGGTCCAAGTACCTTTTGAGAAGGTACTTGGATCCCTAGGGTATGTAGACTCTTGAGGAATCAACGCCCTCCCCATGGATTGACACACCTCTTACATATATGTTTTTTGCAATTCAAGAGTGAACTCGAGTCATACTTAATGTATGAACTAAACATGTGTTGCAATTTTGAACACTCTGCTCGTCCTACTCCATCGAATCAATTCCAAGAAAGGACATGTCCCCCCCCATGTCTCTTCGGAAATTGCGAACACCATGCCGTTGAGCGACAGAAAAAACACATGCTGACTGGCGTTTTCTTCCTTTTGTTAGCTAAACATTCGATGTTTGGGCATTGGTACCGTGGCGGAGTGCTTTCTCAATACAGTATTCCCAAACACTCCATGTCATACCTGCATTGAACCCCTTAAACTACCCCAATGTAGCTAAACATGCCAGTCCCATGGATGTTCTGTGTTGTTGTTCTTGGGGTTTCTCACTCATGGAAGGCTCCTGGTCGTGCTGGACCTCTTTACGGTTTTTGGAATGGCGCGCGTTCTGTGCGCCACAGACCCGTCGGGCTTGTGCCGTTGCAAAGGTTGCTTTGTACAGGGTGCCCGGGTGCCCGGTATGTTCAATCGAAGGCCCAAGAGCGCTCGAAACCCCACAGTATGAAACTGTTCAGAATTACATACGGTAGGCTCCAAGTTCGTTCAGCTTGCGCATGGGTTGCCAAGCGGCATTGCCGCATGAAAATCAAGCCATCGTTTCATCCTGGACCCACACAACCCGGTCACAGCTGAGTAGCTGGCAAAAGGTGCATGCAGAAAGAGCGCTCATTTTGGAAAATATAATGTTATTAAATAGTACAGTTATATAACCCTTTCAACTTGTTTGTTGTGTTGTGGGGGGTCCCAAATCCCAACAAGGTTGGGCAGGATATCCGCTATCCACG